TATTCCAGGGAGAATGTAGTAACCGAAGAGGCATTAAATAACATTGAGTGCCTCCCTGTCCTGGAAGAGTTGGACAGCAAACCAACTTTAGCAGAAATAAAAGCAGCCTTGAATTCCCTCTCCTCTGGCAAAGCACCTGGGAAGGATAACATCCCTGCTGAAGTGCTGAAATGCTGTAAGGAGATCATCACCACCGAGCTGTATGAAGTCTTTCGTCTTTGCTGGAGGGAAGGTGGAGTACCACAGGACATGAAGGATGCAAACATCATCACATTGTATAAGAACAAAGGAGATGGGGCAACTGTAATAACTACTTGGAATCTCTCTTCTCAGCATTGTAGGGAAGCTGCTTGCCCATGTTGTGCTGAAGACTCTCCAGGTGCTTGCAGACAGAGTCTATCTAGAATCACAGTGTGAATTTTGAGCTAATAGATCCACCACTGACAGTTGCAGCTAATAGATCCCTCCGACAGTTGCAGGAGAAATGTAGGGAACAACAACAGCCGCTCTTTGTGGCCTTCATAGATCTCACAAAGACCTTTGATTTGGTTAGCAGGGACGGCCTTTTAAAAATACATATCAGGATTGGATGTCCACCTTGACTCCTTAACATCATCAGGTCCTTTATGAGGAAGTGAAGGGCACTGTACTTTTTGACGGCTCAACATCAGATCCCTTTGACATCCGAAGCGGAGTGAAACAGGGCTGTGTCCTTGTGTCAACCCTGTTTGGGATCTTTTTTGCTGTCATGGTGAAGCACGCCTTTGGAACTGCAACAGAAGGTGTTGGTAATTCCTAGTATCTTTGAAAAGTGAGAATAGCTCTTTAAAAATGTGGCACACATTTTACACGTCTCATATAATGTGCCTTTTCAAAAACAGAATTCCATTACATTCTTTCTTTAAGACAGAAACAGTGTTGGAAGAGCTGGGTGAGGTGGTTGCTGGTACTACCTAGGAAGCTTATTCTTCTGGAAACCTGAGGAAGGATCTGTTTTTATATGAGCTGCACAACTTTAGGGAGTGATAAAGGATCCAGATTGCACATATTGTCACTGGGAGTTAGAAAACCTTTGACCTGAGCGTGTGCAAAAAACCTTTCAAGAAAACGGAAGTGTTTAAAAGGGAACGGTGAAATTTTCTAGACAAGCTGCGAACATTGTTTGAGCTTGTATAGCTTATATTGGGCCCCATGGTAATTTAAATTCCCCTCTAATACATTGGAATGGTTCAGTCCTAACAAATAGAGAATCTTGTTTGTGGAAGGTAAATCATTAATGGAAGTAGTTTGATTTCAGCTTAATGCTTATGTTTATAAAAAACTGAATTAAAGAACGATGGACTTCCCCAGGTAAGAGCTATACTATGGAATTGTGATGAATATTTTCCTATGTGAATGTTATTTACATTTCAGTTTTACTAGATTAAAACTAGCAGTATTGAGTACCCTGTTCGTGTTGTTATTTACATTTCAGTTTTACTAGATTATAACTAGCAGTATTGAGTACTCTGTTGAAGGGTGAATATTGCACTTCCTGAGCTTGTCTGGAGTTTGGACTTGTTTACTATGCAGTCTGTAATGAAGTGGTTTTCTTGGTTGTTTACAGACAAATGGAGCATTACAATTTTGCCTTGTAAGCTGCACTGTGAAGGATGACTCTTCAATCAGTTTTCTGTCCATGTATTCTTAAAATTAAGGAAATAGGGTCATGCCTATTAAAGCCACTTGTACCTCAGTTGGAACACTCTAGCAGAGGATTGTATTCAGAACTGTTGTATTTCTGGTTCTTGTATTTGAATCTCACACATCCCCTTGTACTCTGAATCTTTCTTCTTTCCTATTTGCTTTTTTACTCAACTGTCTGCATAATCGATCCTCCGCTAACCATTTTTGTTGCCCATATAATCCAAGTGTATTCTGGCTTGTTCAAATAGATCAACTGACCAAGATGCCTTTATATGTCTGCATGCCAGGAGGGGGATGCTGACAGGTTAAGAATTATTGATGCATTTATCTACATGTTATCTGAAGTATTTCTATAATGTTGTTGAGTGCCATCAGGTCACCTCCAACGTATGGTGACCCTATGAATGAGAGAGTTCCAGAAATGTCCTATCCTCAGCCGCCCTGCTCAGCTCTTGTACACTAAAGCCTGTGGCTTCTTTTAGGGAGTCAGTGCATCTCATATTTGGTCTTCCTTTTTTTGTGCTGCTTTCCACCTTTCCCAGCATTATTGTCTTTTTCAGAGAATCCTGTCTTCTCAGGATGTGCCAAAGTAGGGGCAGCCTCAGTTTCAACATTTTTGCCTCTAGAGTTAGTTCAGGCTTGATTTGATCTGGGACCCATTTGTTTGTCTTTCTGGCAATCCATCCTATCTGCAAATATCACCTCCATCACTGTATTTCAGACAAATCAGGGTTTTTTTTTCTGTCAGCTTACTTAATGGTATAACTTTCACTGGTGATTAGAAATGCAAATGTGTGGATGATCTTGGTCTTGGTCTCCAATGACACATCCTTGTACTTTATGATCTTACTTGGTCTTGGTCTCCAATGATACATCCTTGTACTTTATTATCTTATCAAATTCCTTCATTGCTGCCCTTCGTAGTCTCACTTCTGTTTTCTTGACTGCAGTCTCCATTTGAATTGATGATTGATACAAGGTATACAGCACTTCTTATCTATTTCAGTCTCTTCATTGTCACTTGTTAAAGTTGTGTAGTTCTTCTGTAGTCATGATTGTTGTCTTCTTTCCATTCCACTGCAGTCCTGGTTGGCACTTCCTTCTTTTACTTTTCCTAACAGTCCTTTCATTGCTGCTTTCTTCCAATAACATGGTGTCATCTGCATATCTTAAGTTACTGAATGGGTGAAAAAATGAAAAATATCTGTAGAGACTTTCTTCCAATAACATGGTGTCATCTGCAAATCTTAAGTTACTGAATGGGTGAAAAAAATCAAAAATATCTGTAGAGAAAGAGCTCATTTACTCATCATATTTAATGAAAGATAGATGAATGGGAGAGGGAAGGTACTGGATTTTAGTGCGGTAGAAAAGTTAGTAGGAAGCCTGGTTACTTCTAATTGTTTAAAAACACACACTATACAAACATTTCATTGCCTCTCTTGGCCTCCTGCTGCCATCCTTAGCTTTTATCTGTCCAGATGGTTTTAAGGGGTTACTGACAATTCAATGCTTCACCATTGATGGGAATTAAAGGCTGATATAGTGGTCAGTCTCAAATGAATAGGCATTGTCCTGGCAGCTGCCAAAAAGCACTCTCTTTTCTTCTCTTTTTTAGAATTTCAGTTGTCTTGTCATGTTTTGTCCCACCTGTTTTTCCTTGGTGTTTAAGTAAAAAGCCTGGTTCCCTGTTGTATAATAAACTGAAGTGAACTAGGCTAATATTAAGCTTCTAAACAGAAAGTATTTGTTTACTTGGACATCTCGAGAAGCAACAAGTGAGAAAGTGGGAACAGTAAGATTGAAATCTGATACTGACAATTCATATGTCTTGAAGATAAACTTTAATGTTTAACGTTAATGTGTTGGAGTTATTTGTAAAACTGTAGGCAGCATGTGACTGCTGTGACATCTTTAGCAGAAGGAATGAGAAGATAGGACTCCCTCAAGACAGTTACAAATTCCTGGGTGTTTTGCTGACCTAAAATTCATTTCTATAAATGTTTACTGAATAGAGCTTACTACCTGGTTCATCTGATGACTGCTTAGCTGGTAATTTTAGTCCTTGCTTTCTTACTAAGGTTTTTAATGTTTGGACATATTTTGAGATGTGCTACAGCTTCTCCTAGGGGACATGGTGGCTAAACCACAGAAGCCTGTGCTGCAGGGTCAGAAGACCAGCAGTCGTAAGATTGAATCCAGGTGACGGAGTGAGCTCCCGTCGCATTTCCCAGCTCCTCGCCAACCTCGCAATTTGAAAGCATGTAAATGCGAGTAGATAAATAGGTACCACCTCGGTGGGAAGGTAAAACAGCGTTCCCTAGTCACGCTGGCCGTGTGGCAACGGAAACTGTCTTCAGACAAGCACTGGCTCTACGGCTTGAAAATGGGGATGAGCACCGCCCCCTAGAGTCGGACACGACTGGACTAAAAATGTCAAGGGAAACCTTTACCTTTACCTTTACAGCTTCTCCTGATAAACATTTTGCTAAAGGTGTCTGGTGTTAATGTGGTTACCAAGAATGGGGAGTCAATTGATAATTGAAAATGGGTAAATACAGTTGAGTACTTTTCAGTTACACATATTTGGGAGGGAGATGCTGCCTGTTTCTGTTGGTGTACATATGTCTGTGTACCATATCTCACATAATGAAACATCTTTCAAGATGCTCTACAACAGTGTTTCCAAACCTGGAGGGTCATGACCCCTAAGGGGGGGGTGTCACAAAGTGTTTTCTGAGCAGTCATGGGTCATCTTATATATGTTGTAGTACTTGTTAAATAATTTCTTCCTTGACCTTTCAGAGTTGGAAATTAAAGTTAGCGTTTAAGTATACAGTATGTATGAGAAACAGGCCCTTTGGGGGAGAAAGAAGCCTGTACTTTCTGAGAACAGATGACTTCACCCCATTGAAAATGCTTTTTAAGCAAATGTATCAGCGAGATCACAGGGTACTTGCAATTTATAAAAGGGGGTCATGACTCGAAAAAGGTTGGGCATCACTGCTGTACAATATTCTTGTCTAAAAAAAAGAAAAGATTGACTAATGCTAGTTGTAATGTAATTTTTGCTGTATAAAGTAGGGATGGGTTAGGGTTTTTTCTGATTTTCTGAACTACAAGTACCTGAATGTGATGCACCTGGGAGAAAGGCCTAAATTAGAAGTCTTTCAGGCTTTGTTTGGCCATGCTTCAGCAAAGTGTCCTGCTAAGAAAGAAAGCTTTCAGCTAGCACAGAGACAGGATACTTGGGTGAAGCTGGGCCTAACAAAGCCTCAAAGCCTTCTAACTTGGATTTTTCTTCCAGGTGGACATCCAGGTATTTGCAAGGTGCCTATAAGAGAATGGTGGTATTTGTAGTGCAGAAAATCCTGCAAATCCCATCTGTAGTGTATTGTCAAGGGTTAATAAAGGTGATCATGTGTGTGTTAAATTTGGCTTAGTATTTTAAATTTCATAGTATCAGACTATTCTGCAATTTGATAGGGTCAGATATTTCAAACAGGTTTGTGTCTCCTGCAGATTGTTGGAGACAGACAGCAAATCACTGCGATCAGTAAATGGGTCAAGAAGAAACAGTGGCTCCTCGCTTGTATCTAGTTCATCAGCTTCTAGCAACCTCAGCCATCTAGAAGAAGATAGCTGGACCCTTTGGGGGAGGATTGTGAACGAGTGGGAAGATGTGCGCAAAAAGAAAGAGAAGCAAGTTAAGGTTAGTTGGACTGCTAGTCACCAAGCTCGCAATTTATTCTCAGTGTTGGCTTTAGAAATATCAGCCCTGCTTAGTAATGCTTAGCATAGCCTGTTGTGGTATATTGTGAAATGGACTTGTCACTGAAAGTAAACAATAAAGACGTAATGAGAGATAAGAGAAAGTACTGTGTTTTCCTGAAGCCAGCATTGGGAGGGGGGAAGCTCACAAATCCATGTGCTACAGATCAGAAGCATTTTGACAACATCTATATTTATCATTAGTGGATTTTCAGTTTCACATCCAATATGTGAGTCGTTTAATTTGGTACTGTATCTTCATTTTTTTAATTGAGAAAAGCAAAAGCAGCGTTCTGCTTATATACTGCCCCATAGTGCTTAAAGCACTCTCTAGGTGGTTTACAAGTTAATTATGCAGGCTATATATGCCCCCCCAAGCAAGTTAGGTACTCATTTTACCAACCTCAGAAGGATGGAAGGCTGAGTGAATTTTAAGCTGGTTACATGGGATTGAACCCTGGGCTTTGAGTACAGTTTTGGCTGCAGTATAGCAGTTTAACCACTGCTCCACAAGACTCTTCAAGAACGAACGAATCTGTGGAACTGATGAAACATCTTTGTGATAGTTGTGTTGACTGAATGAGTTGTAGAGGACATGGCAGTATGTTTTTTGAACTGTTAAATACAGTGGCCCAAAGGATCTGTGTGAGAGTTTTATTGAAGCCAAAACCTATGCCATAATACCACAGTGGTCCACAGTATATACAGTAATCATTATATCAACACGTTGTTATAAGAATAATTAGTCATGAATAATGACTCTATTTATAACATTGTTTACTAAATTATACTGAATAAAGTTGCTTCAGTCATTTTTATATCACAAGCCTCACGGTCTCCATTCCAGGTAAATTTGCTATTTACTGAATATAATGTACAGACTCATGCTGCAATGCTAATCATGGCATATATGTGGCCTTAGAACTCCCCAGACTAGATTGTGGGAGTGAAAGCCCTGTAGAGCAGTAGTCCCCAACCTTTTCGGAACCGTGGACTAGTTGGGGGTGGGTGGGGTCCGTGCGTGGGAGGTCAGGACACCCCCTGCGCTCAGGGGTAGGTGGGGTGCGCATGGGGGACACTTGCACGCATGTGCAGATGGAGCAGGGCACACTTGCGGGGGTGGGGGTGTGCTCGGGTGCATGCGTGGGGGCCCTTGGGGACGGGGCACACTCGCACACATGCGCAGATGGTGCAGGGCATGCTTGCGGGGTGGGATGCGCAGGCACGGATAGCATAGAGGTGCTCACCGGGGCGGAGCACCCGTGTGGGTGGGTAGGCTGTGTGTTTGTCTCCATGGCCCGGTCCTGCTGAGGCCACAGACCAGCACAGGGCCACGGACCAGGGGTTGGGGACCCCTGCCGTAGAGTACTAGATAGCTCCTTTACCATATACTTTATATGGAGGCAGCCTGTGTCAGAACTTGCCCTCCCATAGTGCTGTGCAAGTCTCAAGGAATGTCATGATTCCCACACAGCGATGAGGAGCTTTACTTCCTGCTGACTGGAGGAATAGTGAGGGAACCAAATGCAAGCAGGACTTCTTGCTGCTATGGGGCTTTTACTCCTATCATTCGGCCTTTGGAGTTCCTACCAAATTATGAAGGTAAAAATCCATTAAATGCAAAAGTCCCATCTCTACTTAAAATGTACAGGATAGTGCCCATCATCATAAAAATAATGTAGAATAAAATCATTTAATGTAATGAAATGGCTAGAAGCAACAGAAAAATAAGATTTTAAATTGAGTTGGAGGTGATTATACAAATACAGATTATATCTGAAATTAAATCTGAAAAAGCTGGTTAATGTAATTGTCTTTTCCTGCCAATAACAAAAGGATCAGGTACAGCAGTAGGCGAGCCTCCCTGGGAAGATAATTCTAGATACAGAACAACATGGTTATCCAGTCATCAGCTGTCTATATCAGGAGGGGAAAGAATGTGAAGAAAATATAGCATTTGGACCTGATTTTAGGAGGAGATGGTTCTTTAGCTACCAGAAATCAAGTGCCTTATGGCTTCAAAGCAGCAATGTGTCTAACAAGCCACTTGGTAACCGCAGATAGAAAGAAGGTCATGCAGGCAAGCGGGCGAGCTAGTCAAAAAAAAGCAACCAATCTGTGCTGCCAGAGGGAATTCTTTCTATACAGTCTCACTGGGCAGAAGGTTTATGTTTAAAAAAACAGACAAACAAAACTAGCCAAAGCTCGTATCCTTCTGTTTTTAGGCTGATTGCAGGAGATGGGGTTTCCTCTCCTTTGCAGGCAGTATGGAACTGCTAGCTAGTATCTTAGCAGGCTAGTAAAATAATAATGCTTGTTATTATAGGTCAGAACCTTAAGTAGGTTTAGTTTCAAGGCAGTTTTAAAGATGAACATTGAGTGTTTTGAATCTTGAAACAGACCCAACAGCAAATACAGTTGTCTTGATGAGATGTGATCCCTTCAGTTAATCCCTGTTAATAACCTTAGCAGTTTGGGGCTAGCTAAAATATGAACTGTTCAAAGACAGGCCCATCTTGCAGTTGACCTAAGTAAGCTGCTTCTGCCCAGGTAGGATCACTGTGTATTAGACTGAATTTCTGGAAGGCACTTCATGGCACAAATGGGTCTTGGCCTACCAATCACAGAGCGATCTACAGTGGTGCCTCGCTTAACGAGCGATTCGTTTAATCCGCATAGCGATGTGTTTTTTGCGATCGCAAAAGCAATTGCATAATGATGTTTTAAATGGGAAGACATCACTTTGCAATGATCAGTAAGCTGTTTCGCTTACCAATTTCCGTATAGCGATGTTTTTTCTAACAGCTGATCGGCAGTTCCAAAATGGCCGCTGGGAAAAAATGGCCGCCCGCAGTGTTTTCGCGCCCTTTCCTTGCTTAGCGGGCAGCGAAAATGGCGGCCGTATGGAAGATTTCCGCATAACGGTGAGTTTTTTGCCCATAGGAACACATTAAACGTGTTTTAATGCATTCCTGGGGGCTTTTTTGTTCCGCATAGCGACGACTCCGTATAGCGACGATTTTTTCGGAACGGATTATCGTTGCTATGCGGGGCACCACTGTACCTTGATGTAAGAGGGAGGTGTGGCCCCCTCCAGAACAGATTCAGCCTTGCTGCTTCAGTCAGCTTTTGTCCTATCAAAAATGAATTTCAATTTATTGATTCTGTTAATTCAGGACCAGGCAATGATTATTGTATTCCTTAAAATCCTCTTTTAACGGAGGAATCCTATTAACATATTTAAACTTGACTGAAGGTAGTGATTAGAATGACATTTAAATAATGTGTGTGTACAATGATAATTCTGACCACATGTTTTATTTGTCATTTTCTGCATTTTTATTTGTCATTTTTATATGTCATTTTATTCTATTAAAAAGTGGCATAGTAAGCTGCAATCATTCTGTTCTATGGAGAAAACTCTTAACCATGATAAGATGTGATATTTGATTATCTAAACCAGGGTTGAGATTGTCTGCAAACTAGGGAATAAATTATTGCATTAACCTTGCCTGAGTTGTATTAACCTTGTTTAAAAGTAACCTCTGTACTGAGCAAATCACAGCTAATCAAATTCTCCCCCCTTCTCTACATACAAGATATCAGCAGGTCTTGCTGGCATCTCCTTATGCAAACTATTCAGAGACAAGTGCTTGCCAGTTTCATCAGATCTCTGGGGTTCTAATGAGGATTAAGGCCACAATAAGAACAGGACCTGATGATCATGGTCAATTTGTGTTAAACATTTGTACTGGAAAGCCAGTGAATTGCCTCTGTAATTTCTTTTTATGATTCACACTTCAGTCAACATTTAACTTTTTGCTCTCACATCCTTGTGGGTGTCACATGCTAGTATAAAGTTTCTTTGGTATATTTTTTCACTTTTAATAATTCAGTTGGTCTGTTAGCAAAATATAATGTGCTTCTGGGGGTCTTTTTCTGCTTTAGGAACTGGTTCGAAAAGGGATACCTCATCATTTCCGAGCAATAGTTTGGCAACTTTTGTGCTCAGCTCAAAACATGGCAATTAAGGATCAATATTCAGAACTGTTGAAAATGACGTCGCCCTGTGAAAAGCTTATAAGAAGGGACATTGCTAGGACGTATCCTGAACATGATTTTTTTAAAGAAAAAGACAGCCTTGGACAAGAGGTTTTATTTAATGTAATGAAGGTAAGTTCATGGCTTCAAACCTCTTAACGCAAAATAAGTATTTAATGCTCATGTTGTGTTGTTTTTAGCCATCATGCAACTCTCTTGAGTTCAGATGCATATATTTTTGAATGCCAGGTGGTACAAATAGAATGGATGATGTTTTATAGTCTGTCCTATCATGGTCTGCTCTTGTTTTAGTGGGGTATGCTTTGTTTTATGATATGAGTGCAAATTGATCAGAATAACTCATTTTAACTTTACTGAGCACATGGTGGTTCGGAAGAGAGTGCCTGCTGTAGATCAAGGGCAGGGGATGTGTGAACTGCACCTCTAATCCATCCATGCCAGCATAACCTGTAGTGCTAAGTCATGGAAATGATCACTACACCACAGCGGGGATGAGCAGTGTATAGTCTGGATAGCCATACATTGCCCATCCCTGCTGTAAATCAGCAGATGAACAAATTGTGTCCTGTGCTAGCAGTTGTCTCACACATTATTTCTGTTACTTTTTGAATTCATGGGAGAGGTGTGTTCTTAAGCATAAGAGCCAAGCCCTTGTACTGTGCCTCTTTATAGTGCTAACCCGGGAGAAGAATTGGTGCGTGAGCCCTCACAAAAAAAAACATGTGCCACTCAGGCTACTTTAGTGTCTGAGGATGAACATCTCACAAGCAGGTCACCTCTGGGGGAGTAAAAATACGATTAAATGAACAAATGAATCTTGTGGCCACCTTCAAATCTCACTGTACTCTGTGCACTACCCTGTTTCCCCAAAAATAAGCCCTAACCTGAAAATAAGCCCTAGTATAATTTTTCAGGATGCTCATAATATAAGCCCTACCCCCAAAATAAGCCCCAGTTAAGTGAAACCCCGCCCTCCACCATTGTGCAGCAACCAGAAGAAGATAACATGAATGTATTTGAATCAATATACTGTAGATTGCTGTACATAGAAAAAATAAGACATCCCCTTGAAATAAGCCCTAATGCATTTTTGGAGCAAAAATTAATATAAGACCCTGTCTTATTTTCGGGGAAATGGGGTAGTTAATTCATCAAGTGCATAGAATTAGCTTCAGTAGACATGTTTATACACAACATAGTAATTATATTACATTCATCATTACGTAATAAGGGGGAAAATTGCTTCCTTCCTAATGGCACCCAAAATCAGTTGCTTGAAACAGCTGCTGGAGTTGGGTGTGAAGTTCCGCACATGTTAGCAGAAGTTTCAGGGCTTCACAGAAAATCTGAGATTTTTGTGGCAGGGCTATGTTTAGTCCTCAGCAAAATTCACACCATTTTTGCTCAGAGTTCTTGTGAAGTTTATTTCTAGGTTTCCCAGCCAGGAGTGTATTATTGAATGGCCCAAAGTTTAACTCTCCCTGAATAGATTTGGTGGTCAGTGATCTTTATAATTTTCTTTGTGCTTAAAAAAAAAGAAGGTCACAGTTCACAGGGCAGGGTGCAAAGTGAGAGACAGTGTGTGTGCACTTGGGTCGGTTTAAGAATAAAATTTGGGGGCCAGAGTGCTGTTCATGTTTTCCATCTGTATAAGGGCAGCTGTGTAGCAATTTTCATCCTCTTGCAGCCACCCTGCCCTTGTTCGTCATGGAACTACCATGAGACCAGGCACGTGAAAGAGAGCCTGCCAGAGGGGAGAAAATGATTACACAATTGCTCTTACATGATCATATAAGTGAATAGGATTCTAGCATGGGTGTTTTAGCTGGAAGCACCAAAATTTATTTTAAGATTGCTAGATATTTCACATGAACGACTTTTTCACTTAGGAATGAAAACAAAATTACAAAACCATGCCTTTGTGCTGTCTGAAATACTGTTTGTGTATACACATATGTGAACATAAATGTGTGTGTACTGTCGGCTGTGCACATTTTAATGGGTATATTTTCGAAGATATAAGCATAGATGGATTCATACTCAACTACTGCCTGTGAAAAAGAAGATTTTTGAAACAAGCAAACCAGGCAAATAAACTTTCGGCTGCTACCTATTGACAACAGGAATTTCTGGGCATTACTGGGAAATAGAAACACAAGAGGAACTGGGGTGATTGAGCAATTATGAGTCATAGCTGTTTCTAATGATTTTTCCATTCTTCTTTTCAACAAAGTGAAAAAAGAAAAAACACCCATGACAAGAGTGCAGCTCCTTATCTGCTGTCATTGTGATTGTTAAATTTCAAAGTACGAACAGAGATAGATGTTGCAGCTGCTAGTAATCCAATAATTTCTCTTTTTTTCACAGAAACTACAATTTGTTAAAGCCATCAGTAGTTTTCTATGTATTTTCCGAAATCACATTCCAAGGGCAGTTGTTTTTCAAAATCGCCACTTTGGAAAGATTCCCCTCAATATATTTTCTTAGGCTTTGATGTGATTAATGTATTGCTCATACAGACTTTATAAAATGGGTTGGTTAGCAAGTCATTTAACATCTGGCAAAGTAAAACCTGAAAAAGGAAGCATTTGAGCTACATGTATACTCCCAAGATCTCTGATTTGCTTCACTTTCCACAGCTACCATCTTGCTCCCGCGGTTCTGTTCAGATGGAAGCAACAAACATCAGGGAGTATCCGAGTGGATTCCTATTGACTAAAGTCAGTTTAGAGTTTACATGAGCTTCTTTTGATGGCTAATTTGGACATCTACAACAGATGTGATCAACCTTTCAACATTAGGCTACTTTCCCCCTCGGTATTAGGAGTTTCAATGGAAACTGCCAATCCATTAAACACAAAGTACAGTGGTGCCTCGCATGACAATGTTAATTCATTCTAGCAAAATCGCTGTTGAACAAAAACATCGTAATGCGATATTAAAAAACCCAATTAATGCGTTCCTATGGGTTTCAAACTCACCATCCAGCGAAGATCCTCCCTAGCATAGCCATTTTCGCTGCCTGTGCAGTGAGGAATCCGTCCCAGAAAACAGGGGGCGACCATGTTTTTTACCTGGCGGCCATTTTGAAACCGCCGATCAGCTGTGCAAAAATCATCGCAAAGCGAAATCCCCCATAGGGAACATCGTTTTGCAATCACTTTTGCGATTGCAAAATCTTCAGCGTCAAGCAATTTCGTCGTCAAACGGAGCACTCGTAAAGCGAGGCACCACTAAAGGCCTGTTCACATGAAAGATTTAAATATTCATTCCCATGAGTCATGTAACAGGCAAATCAGAAGGTCATAGATCTCTGTAGAAGCTGTGTCCTCATTTTCTAAAGGTAACATTTGAATTGCCCCTTTCCTAAGGGCTTGCTTAAGAGAATCTATCTGGGAGAGAGCCTGAGTGCAGGCTACGGAAGGAAGCCCACTGTCCATTGTTGGATCTGGCCATGAGTTCTGGAATCCTCTAAAAATCAATGCAAATTGAGCAAAACTTCCATTGTTTCTTTTACATTTCCCTATAATTTTGTTTACATTTTCCCATAATTTCTTTTACATGCCTTAAGGATTTTCTAGTCAAAGACAGGGACAATGATACTGAAGTTCTCCTTACACTAACAAAACACTTTACTCAGCTGCTTCTTTGACTTTTGAAATGTGATGTTGTATTGGCTATAAATGTTAAGTCCATCTTTGCAGCAATGAGAGTTACAAACTTGCTTTAAAAATAATGAAACCTGGCATCCTCAGCAGATTTTTGTGGCTGCTTCCATGCTGTTACGGAATTGTGTCTCTAGCCTTGAACATAGGAAATGGCTTAAACTTCCTTTTGGAAACTGGTATATTATTAGTTCTGCTGTTCAGCTCTTGACTGGTTTTAATTTTTTTTTCTTAGGCGTATTCTTTAGTGGACCGTGAGGTTGGCTACTGCCAAGGAAGTGCTTTTATTGTCGGATTGCTCCTTATGCAGGTAGATAAGCAATATTTTACTGTGAAACTGTTCTTGAAATTCTGCTTTGTTAAAAGCATCAAGACAATAATAACGAAACAGTTGTACAGGATCTATGAACTGGAATGCTGCTTGTGCAACATAATTGTTCGTTATATAGATATTAAGTTGATTTTTTCACATGAATACTCTGTAATGTTTAAGTGGCTTGGCATTGAGCAGTAAGAAGCCTTGATTATTTTTGATCCTGGAGCTAGGCCCTCAGATGGAAATTGTTATATATTTGTCCTGTGCTTGCTGAAAGAGAGACATGTAGTCACAGCTAGCATTTTGTCCCAGGTAAATTTCACAGAGCTATTCCAGAAACTAGTGATAGATTGATCTTAGCTCTTGTACAGGACAAAATCATTAAGGAAACCAAAGATGCTCCAACAAGGCTTATATAGCCTAGTCATTCCCTTGGCTAATGCAATCCTAAAAGCTACTTAATATTGGCCAGAGCTTACTGGTATTGATTCAGCCCTATAAAACAAGTCTCCAGAACACCTATTAACAGAATTTGCTGGGAGTTACATTAAAGAGGTGTGGGGTTTCGTTCCTTTCCAGTAACCACAGGTAATATAATAAACTGGTTGTAATGAGACCAGCCAGCCATGTGAGCTTGGGGAACCAACAGCAGCCTTTTTATTTAGATACTGAAATCAGTACTTATAGCCACCAAACAAAATGGATGGTTAAAGGCTAAGCAACTTGTTTTGCCCGCTGGGAGTTACATTAAAGAGGTGTGGGGTTTCGTTCCTTTCCAGTAACCACAGGTAATATAATAAACTGGTTGTAATGAGACCAGCCAGCCATGTGAGCTTGGGGAACCAACAGCAGCCTTTTTATTTAGATACTGAAATCAGTACTTATAGCCACCAAACAAAATGGATGGTTAAAGGCTAAGAAACTTGTTCTGCCCTCTAGATATATGCTTGTATTAGTCCTGTTAACCATATGGTTGAGAACTTTCAAAGTGTGTATAACAGCGTGAGAGTGTTAAGTTTTGACATCTCTCTCCTTCAAAACAGATGCCGGAAGAGGAAGCATTTTGTGTGTTTGTTAAATTAATGCAAGATTACCGACTTCGAGAACTCTTCAAACCAAGTATGGCTGAGCTGGGCCTTTGCATGTATCAGTTTGAGTGCATGATCCAGGTATACTAAAGATCCATATCTCCCTTGTGCATTATGTAGTTATAGTTTATGTTTCTTCAAGTTGCAGATGTTTTAGACCTTTTAAGTGATGGATTAAGAAGACCAGGGGGAAGGTCACAATTAATCACATTAATAAGAAAGAGTGGAACAGTGTGCAGGGAAATGTCCAGAGCATAGCAGTGTTCTCTCATCACTTGCACAACAGTGTATATGTATATATCACCCTCTTTGTGTACTTGGAAATCCCATTGCTTTAAAAGGGGAGATTCCTGGCTTGCACACCTGCAGGCTGGACCTCATGCTGAACGTGTTGTTCCCCGTGTTTCTGATCAGAATTCTGGCTGGCATCAGTATCTCACAACTAGTTGTAAGGAATGGTTACATATCTCCCCAAGCAGAAATTGATAATTTTATCTAATAGTACCCAATGCGTCACTCTGTGATGAAGTCCTGATTGGTATATGGCTATCACTCAGTTTATTCATGTGCCTGAGGTGGAACTTCTTGTTTGATATAATCATAGATTTTTCTGCTTAATGTCTTGCACTTTTGTGAAAAAAAGTCTTATAATATTTTTGTGAACACCTTAAGTAAAGTTGCCAGTTTCACTGGGTGTTATGTTACATTTCAGGAGCAGCTGCCAGAACTTTATGTGCATTTCCAGGCACAGAGTTTTCATACCTCAATGTATGCATCATCCTGGTTCTTAACTATTTTTCTGACATCTTTTCCACTACCAACTGCAACAAGAATATTTGATATATTTATGTCTGAAGTAAGTTATTGTTATATTCGAATGTGAGTATTAAACTGTGTTCTCTGTCAATGCAAATATTGTACTGAACATTCTTTAAATACATGCTAGGGCTGATGGAAAATCTTAGTAGCATCGTAACACAGTGCTTCTGCTGCATGCACAAACATGGCCTCCAACAAGCAGGGGGCGGGTTTAGTTGGGGCTAACAAGTGGATTTAGAAACTCTTCAGAAATTGTAGAAATGGTTATCTAAAATGAAATACCTGCCTCCTTCCTAGGGTTTAGAAATTGTTTTTCGGGTTGGCTTAGCACTACTCCAGATGAATCAAGCAGACTTAATGCAACTTGACATGGAAGGAATGTTACAGGTAAAGGAAATGTTATATTAATGTGTCAAAACTTTGGAAAGTTTGGATATATCAGTATTAATGTCTTGTGACTGTATGCTCTGATTTTGCTTTTAGTACTTTCAGAAGGTTGTTCCACATCAGTTTGACAGTGGGCCAGACAAGTTAATCCAAGCAGCTTACCAGGTCAAATACAACGCAAAAAAGATGAAAAAGTAGGTATTACATTTTCTAAATATTAATTAATTCTAAGATATATTGGTCATTTCTAAAAAGCCCTCAGGATGGTGCACACGAAAAGAAAAGTTACAATACAAAATCCATGCTAGAAACAGCACCAGAAGTTCAGTTAAAAGCAGCATAGACAAGATGAAAACAATATTAAAATGCAAAGGTTTCACAATGTATTTTAGTTTTTATTTTGCGTTTGTTTCTTTGAATGTCATATGAAATGGCTCTTAAACAAAGCAAACACTATAATTTCCCCAATTGTTATGTTATTTAACTGTTGAAATCCAGTAGTAAGTCATGATTAGAGTAGGTCATGTGTGGGAATTTCATAAATGTCTACTTTGCCGGGCTCATGCTAGTCAGGAATTGCTGCAAGAGATGGCTTTCCAATGAGTATGCATGCTGTGAAACAGACACTTGTGTGCTCTTCTCATGCCCTGGTGCAAGTGAGAAGGACTCTAGCTCAGTGTATAACTTCTACAGTGAATCACTTTCAGACATTAAGGAGGATTAGAAAATCAGCACTTTTCCATTATTTCAGGATAATGGAGATGGAAGATTCTATTTTAGTAAATTCAGAAAAGCTACAGTCACACTGAATCATACAAATTAATAAAAATTAATATTTGTATGATGCGGAAAATTCAGGTGGTGCAGAACGCGGCTGCCAGACTCCTTACGGACAGTCACACTGAATCATACAAATTAATACAAATTAATATTTGTATGATGTGGAAACTTCAGGTGGTGCAGAATGCGGCGGCCAGACTCCTTACCGGAGTGAGGAAATACCAACACATTTCTCCAACGCTGGCCGCATTGCATTGGCTGTCCATCCGTTTCCGTGTCGACTTCAAAGTTTTAATGCTTACTTATAAGGCCCTAAACGGTTTAGGACCTCGATACTTGGTGGAACGTCTGCTCCCACCTAGGTCTACCCGGATCACCCGCGCGAGTCAGGAGGTGAGGCGCCTGACACCGAGAGAGGCCCGGAAAGAGAAGACGAGAAACCAGGCCTTCTCGGCAGTGGCTCCTCGCCTATGGAACAACCTCCCTCTGGAGATTCGCGCAGCCCCTACGCTGGATGTTTTCAAAACCCAATTAAAAACATGGCTATACATCCAGGCCTTCCCTCCAGCCAATCCCTGAATTCCTTTTCTAATTTTCTTTATATTATTTTCTTTATTTTATTGTAATTGTATTTCATGTCTGTGCACATTTTGTATTTTAATTGTATTTTATTCTTATTTTATATTGGAAGCTGCCTAAAGTGGTCTGGTAGTCCAGATAGGCGGGGTATAAATCAAATAAATAAATAAATAAATTAACAATGACACTGCATGAATAAATCAAATAAATTAATTAATTAATTAACAATGACACTGCATGTTACCTGTTCTGTTCATCATATTCCTGCAGCACTAAAAACAGCTTTTAATAGCTTTCAATGTACTACAGGTTAGAAAAAGAATATACTACTATAAAAACAAAGGAGATGGAAGAACAAGTTGAAATCAAGGTAAGCTGAGGGGGGTTTGGTGAGGAGTAATAGCTATGACTGTCTTGAGGTATGAAGTGAGATCTGAGAGGTTTTTAAGTTAAGAATGGTCCTAACTCAAAATGTCACTGTTCTGGAACCTGGTACAGCATAATGGCTGGAGGACTGAATTTTATGTGGGAGGATCTTGGTCCATATATTCACTCAGACAGGTGAGTCACTGAATGACCTTGGAACAGCCACTGACTAAAACCCAATCAGAAAAACAGGGAACGTAAAGGGCAATCACATAGTGGTTTTCTGTTCTTGCCAGCTCCCCTTTGTGAGGGTTGGTCATATAACTGACCATACATCTGATTTTGAAACCAGTGCAAGATCAAGCACATGGAGATGAACCTGTAGGAGAGAGAAAATTCTTCCTGTGGTTGCCGTTATATGATTGAACCAGCAAACAGGATACTGGTGACTATCTCTCAGCTTAATCATTATCATCATCATGCGCTGTCAAGCCAATTCTGACTTATGACAACCCTTTTTCATGGTTTTCCAGATAGAGAATACTCAGAGGTGGTTTACCATTTCCCTTCCTCTGGGAGCGCCCTGGGGCTGTGCCGTTTGCCCCAAGGCCACCCAGGTTCATTGTACTCGCACCGTGAGGAATCGAACTCCCAACCTCTGGCTCTGCTGCCAGATTCTTAAACCACTGAGCTATCCAGACAGCTCATCTCTCAGCCTAAACTTCCTCAAAAGCACAAAGTGTAGTTGCAGGGAGAAACAATGTATGTTCTTTCAGGTTTTTTGGAGGAAAGGTGAATAAATATTTTCCTATTATGAATATAATACAGTAGTTCAGTAAATAGGTAGGCATTTTACAACATTGTCAACTGAAAAATTGCAAACAAGTTATTAATTTTATGTTTGTGTCACTTTTCACCCAGGAATGGAACCCAAAGTGCTTTACAGTGTTGTTAAAATCAAGTGTTACAGTACTAAAAACACAGTACATTATAAATATCAAAACATACTTAAGTCTGTTGTATCATTAAAACAGTTAAACAAAAAAAATGTTTTGAAAGCATCATAATTAAAATAATATCAAGTTAAATTAAGAATTCCACAGGGACATGGAGGCGCTGTGGGCTAAACCGCTGAAGCCTCTGTACTACAGGGTCAGAAGACCAGCAGTCATAAGATCGAATCCACACGACAGAGTGAACTCCCATCACTTGTCCCAGCTCCTGCCAACCTAGCAGTTCGAAAGCATGTAAATGCGAGTAGATAAATAGGTACCACCTTGGTGGGAAGGTAACAGAGTTCCGTGTCTAGTCGCGCTGGCCACGTGACCATGGAAACTGTCTACGGACAAACGCTGGCTCTACGGCTTGAAAACAGGATGAGCACCGCCCCTTAGAGTCGGACATGACTGGATTAAAAATGTCAAGGGGGACCTTTACCTTTACCTTTTAAATTAAGAATTGGAAGAAATCAGCACAGCCCTTCAAAACTCTGTTCTTAGTTACCATTTTCCAAATGCCTTCCTGAATAGAAAAGTCTTTGCCTGCCTGTTGAGGAATTGCAAGGAAGTGTGACAGCCTAGCTGCTTTCGGGACAGTATTCTCATTTCTCGTTTACAGTTTGGGGATTTTACCAAAAAGCAAAGAAACAAACCTAGATTTAAAAAGTACTGCACTGGCAAAAAAAAAATAAATGGATTTTTGGGGGCTAATTTTAGTCCCACCTTTTTTTCTGTTATTGCTGTATTAATGCAGCAGTAACAGTTAGGATCTGACTTCTGGTGGTTCTGGTAGTTAAATATTAATGTCGCTTATTATCATCTGAAGCAATTATATGTTCAGTATTAGTCTATGCAGGTGAGTGAAATCAGATGCCAGAAAGCGGTGACAGTGTGTGAACTGATCACTGGGACTTATGAGTAAATTTAAATAACCATGACCAAATTTAAATTTTGAGGACCTTCTCCTACTCCTTTGCTTTTCAGAGATTACGGACAGAAAACAGGCTCTTAAAACAACGTATTGAAACACTAGAAAAGGTAAGTTTTTTAGTTCTTAATTCCTGGATTCTGTCTTTCTTTCTTGATTATGCATTTTGCAATCAGTGTAACTGTACTAAGATGATTAGCTTGGCAGCTGTTTTTCTGATCATGATGCTTCATAATTACATGGACCAATCCCCCTGTTGAAATGAAGGGAGGACAAACCAGCTTATTGCCAATCTGCATTAATGAGAGGCTAATTGGAAAGTTATGACCAGGTTACCAGTTGCATTTTCTTACTAATTTTGGCCTGACATAAGCCTGTAATGCACTAAAAAAATGGCCAAATGTCTAAAACTATGTTGCATTTTACATAGCCACTAAGTTAATCTTTCAGAGTTCACATTTCTTCAGAAAACCTGCTTTCTGTTTTTACGTTATTAAAAACAAAATATGAGTATGGCTTTGACTTGCAGCTGGCTTCAGTAATTCACTGGAAAATCAAGATCTTTAAGTTTGTCTGATTAAAACTGATTAAAACTGATTAACCTGATTAAAAAGTGATAAGACTTCAGCTTAGGTTAAACTGGACATCCAGAAATGGCTGTGGCAGATGAAAGAAAGGTCTTATCTATAAAGGCCAGGATGGCTTCCCAGCAGGGTAGTAACAGACCAAAACCTTTTTTTTCCATTCTGATTCATTTCTTCATTCCTGTAAAGTTTTGAGGGAATAAAATTGTTGTTCAAGAGCTATAGTTATCCTTTTGATGCCTAGACAGACTAAATGATAGCTCCACACACAACACATAACCCTTATTTTAAGCATACTAATATGCCCAGAGTTCAAGGTAAGATTGGAGGCCAGGGTGTCAGAAGTGGGCAAGCTTCTAAAGAGGTAGAATGGCCATTAGGCAGTCGCATGTTGACAGCAAACACATCCTGAACCCTAAAGCTAGACAATATTTTGAATATTTTAATATTTCAGAATAACACTATTTGTCCTAATTGTATGAATACTATGTAATGGGTCAGTTAACATCTGTTTTTCAAGGAGTGATAGGCTGCATGTGCTTCTCCTGGTTGTACTGGAACAGGTGCTGTGCTTCATTTGAAGCAAAACATCAACTGTGCTAGTGTCTGGGTATGAACTGTGATAATATTTTGTGCCTTTAAAAAGAACTTTCTCTTCTTCCAAGAAGTTCATAATATTGCCGGGTATACTTGTGGATTAAATTCTTCACTGAAAGGAAAACAGTTGAGAAGGTCAGCTACTCCTTGGCATCCAGGAAGCAGACTAACCTTTTCCCACAGAGTTTGGGCCTCACTATTCATACCAGCCTTGCCTTGATAATGAAGAGCAAGGAGGGGATGTGCTCTAGTCCTCCCGAAGGCCTTTCATTATTTCAGTTTTGTTGCTTCTCAAGCCCAGCCACCTCTTCTGTAATGTTTTAACTCTGTTCCTTCTATTGGAAAATTCAGCAAACACAATTAGAGGGTCTCTTCTGCTTTTTCCCTCTCAGTAGATGAGGTTCAGTTATCATCACAGCCTGAGAAAATGTTCCTTAGGTTGAGCGAGATGGCAGTGTGTCAGAAGAATCAGGACAACTCGGATGGAAATTGATCCAGTTCTCCTGGTTCAAAACATTATTCTTTTTTCGGATGCCACTAGCAACTGCTGTTTCTAGAATAATCAGGAGGTGTTCTTCCAAACCTACTTACAACCATGAAGTATTCTTGAGCGATTTCTTTTTCTGGAAAGATGTCTCCGCTCTGGTGGGTTTTCCCAAGTCCCCCTTTTCTCCTAAATGTCAATCCCTTCCTGTAGGTTCTATGAACTATTCACTCTCCTATTTAAACCTTCAGAGCCAATCCTCCCCTTCCGTTCAGTTGTTTAGATCTTATCCTTCTAATCCTGAAGGATCAAAGCACAGAATAGCCAATTTAACCAGATTTAACCAATTTAGCCAAAATACAAACATAATTAAGCAACAACAACATCTCCCACCAGGGAAAGCCTTACTCTTGGTCCCCCCACCCCACCCTCATAGGTTTGTTTGGTGGGAATACAGGAGAGAGCCTTCTCTGTCATTGCTTCCAAACTCTGGAATTCCCTCCTACAGGTAGCCTGGCTGGCCCCATCTTTGCTGTTATTCCACGGGCAAGCAGAGATCTTTCTTTTCAGACATACCTTTTTAGTGACTTGATGCCTAAGAAGTTTTTTTTAATGGAACTGTTGTGTTTTTCTTGTTTTTAATGTGTTTTTAGAACTGTTTTTGTCTAGTAGTTTTAATATTATATTTATTTAATTCTTTGTAAATACTCTGAATTATTTTCTTTAGCTTTTAGTTCTTTTTAAAAAAAAATAATAAGCCACCTTGGGCCCTTTTCAGGACAAAGGCAGGATATAAATATTTTAAATAATAAACAAATAAATACTAGATAAGCTGCTACCAATCCCGTAGGCCATCTCAGTCTGAGCTAGCGATTCCAAGACTTCACAAGAGCCTCCTTGGGGATTTGAGGAAGTCAGGTCTGAATCCTGGACCCTTTACTTGAAGAATCAGAGGCAAAACTTTTAACTGAACAGAGTAGCAGGAAAAGTATCAGAAAGTGTTGGAGTTAGTGCTAGAGTTTCCTGTAATTATGCATACACATAAATAGACACAAAACCTACAGTGTAGTGTTATTAATGAAGGAAAAGAAGTAAGAAGGCAAATTGTACAAAGATCCAGAGAATCAATTTGGTAATTATACAGCATGCCAGTTATTAAAAGCTTTCACCTAGTTGTTCCTGCATGGACTTGTAAGGACCCAACAAAGAATAGGAACTTGGGACTAGAGGAACAAAGTGTAAGCCAAACGTGAGTGCAAATACAAGGTTGAAAACAAAAGTTTAAGACCCAGTTCTATATTAGATACTCATAAAAACCTTGTCTGCAGCTGGTGAAACAGTAAAAATCCTTAGAGGCCACAACTTTCTGGAAGTCTTCAGTGTGTTTCCCACAGAAACTTCAGTTGAGGCTGATTTCTAATTACCATGCCCAGATGGTTAATCATGGGTAGTCAAAACAGAAGATAGTACAGATGCAGTGCCTGGGAACAGGCTCACAGCGTGCTATGAAGTAGATTTTGTCACATGAAGTATTAATATAGAAAGGCAGCTAGATTTCTGCAGACCTAAGCAGCCATTCTTAACCTTTTTTGGCCACAGCCATAAAATGCAATATGAAAGAAATATAGGCTGATTCAGGATTGTATAAGTCACATAATGAACTTTATAAGGTGGTGTGTGAATAATTGTTTCCAGTCTGTGGCCTGCTTCAAATGTGCCAGGCCCCTCCTAGAGGACCACATGACCCCCACTGAGAATGGCTGCTTTAAATCAGCGGTCCCCAACCGTTTTGGGACCACGGACTGGCTGAGCCTCCGAGGAAGGCGGCCCCCTCTGCAGGTGCGCTCTGTCTCTTGGGTGCATGTGCAAAGTGGTGGGGAGTGCCAGCCCGCCAGTGCTGGTGTGAGCGCTTCCCCACCCCTTTGCGCATGCGCAGGGGTGCCTGCACACCCGCATGCCTGCCTGCCCCTTCGTGTGGGTGCTCGGGCACTCAGGCGCATGCGTGAAGGGGTGGGGGAGTGCTCACAACGGTGCTGGCACGGGTATACATGAGCAAAGTAGCTGTGGGGAAGGGAGTGCATGCAGGGGGTGGGTCTGTCTTCGTGGCCCAGTCCGGCTCAGGCCATGGACCAGCACCAGGCCTCTGCTGGACACTAGATTTGGGGAGGACACAAGATGTAGGAACACTTCTAGAGGTTGGAAATAAAATTTTTCCTTCAAGAATACTTTCTTTCTCTTAAACATTTTGGCATGTAGAGTCCCAGCAGTGAGATGTACAAACCTGTTGTTTTAGGTATGTTTTCTGGTTGATGAGTACAGAATTCATTGTAAGAATGGCTGGTAGCATTTGGTGCTATCAGACTTTCCTTTGTTCTCAGGACAAAAGGGATGTGACTAGACTTAAAAAGCCAAATAGGAGAAAATCAGCCTTAGTAGCATTTGGTGCTATCAGACTTTCCTTTGTTCTCAGGACACAAGGGATGTGACTAGACTTAAAAAGCCAAATAGGAGCAAATCAGCCTTGCTGTGATTTAATTTGCAGCCTGTATTATGGCTGAATTTGCAATCAGTGCTCACACAAGGGTAATTAATTGATTTAGGAGTTCATCATTCATACTGGATGTGATGTGATTTGCATTCCAGCTCCCCCATTTTCCTTCCTTCCTCTGGTCCTGCCTCTGCCAATCTGATGGAGAACTGACAAGGGCATAAATATAGGAAATTATAATATCAGTGACCAGGTGATAGGGTGATCTAGTGCCCATTTCACATATGTGAGAATTTTTGGGGAAAAAAATCAGAGGATGATGAGAGGAGAGGGAAGAATTCAGGGGAGATGTTCCCCCAGTCCTGAACATCATACCCCAACTGCCTACGTCATCAAAACACCACCTACAGACACGCCCCCATTTTTACAAGAACATACATATAACCACTAACCCTATGGGGGAAATCCCATTCGAATGATTATAGCTTGAAAATGTAGGAACCCCCAATGGCAAAGAAAAAAGGCCATTTTGGGAGCAAAAATTATCCTTTGTGTAATGTGGTCAGTAAAAAATACTTTGAATTCACCTATTTTATAAGCGGAGCAAATCCCAGTCCTGAGACTGTCTATATTCGTATTGCTATACAGTGGTACCTTGGTTTACGAATGCCTCTGTTAACGTAATTTTCAGTTTACGAATGGAAGTCCATTGAAAAAAATGCCTTGGTTTACAATTTTTTTTCACAATGCGAAGCAAGTTTCCCCAGTTTTAAAAGTTGATGTGTGATGTTTTAAAAGTTGAAGTTGGATGTTTGAAATGTTATTTTCAATGCATTATTATGGGAAACATCCTGGAAAATGCATTGAATTCATTAACTGAGGTACCACTGTAGTAATCTTTCTCTGTATGGTAGATAGTTGACTACAACCAAATGTTCTCTTCTTTATAAAAAGTTTTGAACAGATAAAAGAATTTTTTTTAAAATGTTTTTCTGACCTCCAGAATGGATTAATTGGTTTTCAATGCATTATTATGGGAAACATCCTGGAAAATGCATTGAATTCATTAACTGAGGTACCACTGTAGTAATCTTTCTCTGTATGGTAGATAGTTGACTACAACCAAATGTTCTCTTGCATTTAGTCTCTGTAATGCCATAGTTAACTTTCTTTCTGTCTACTAGTACAATGATAGTACAATGATACTAGTACAATGATAACTTTCTTTCTGTCTACTAGTACAATGATACAGAGTGGCCTGGCTGCCAGATGATGCAGGGTATAAATCCAATAAATAAATTCCTTTCAGCTCCTGAATGCTTGCTTACACTTACTAGCTTAAAGTATATATTGGCCAACTTGCTTTATGTACCAAATGTTGGATAGACATAGATATTGATCATATTTCTGGTTCTAATTTCTTATTTCTCTTTGAATTAATTTTATCCTAATACAAGGAAGGGAAGTAGAAGAGAAAAGAAACAAAGCCATTGCACAGTGACATGTATCAGGAATAAACAGTGACTGGTTTACTGTATGTATTAATGCAAGCAGTCCGTATGTGCAGAAAAGTTTCCAAATATGCATGATAGCTGTAGGATTATATATTCAGATCTAAGTAGGGCAGTGAGATTTTCTGGCCATTCAGTGGTAGATTTTTTTCCCTTCTAACCTTGAAGCAGAGCTTGAAAAAGTTAATTTCCTGAATCCCTCAATCAGCAAGGCTGAGTGGGTAATTTTTTGAAGTTCTGACTTTAGTGAGAGTCTCTTGGAAATTATAAGATCACACAAAAAAATAAATTTACACTGTTTCTCAGTTTTAAATCTACATCACAGGAATGTAACTTAACAGTGCATAAATGTATGAATCTTATAGCCATATTTACTTAACATAGATTTTCCTAAAACAAAATGAATGTGGTTCACAAGTTCTGACTAAAAGAACCATGTCATATAATTCAAAAGGCATTGTTCATGCTTCAACACCAATATCTGGCTGAATTAACCAGTTGCTTTGTTAAAAATGCCAGTTTTTGCTAATCTAAGGAAATGGCACATATAGAGGTTAGAGAAGTTTTTTTTTCAGATTGTATTGTACGTGACATTCTTTATTCCATTCAACTTTAAGCATAAAATTTACTACACTAACAAACAATGCCATTGTAACCATTGCCATTCTGAACTGGCAATTAAATAATTTTAAAGCTACAGTAAAAGCGAAGGTGTACATTCTTCATCCGCCTCCTTTAAGTGATCAAAAATATAAACCTCACATTCATCCTTCTTTATCCATAAGAAGATCTGCATCTGCCTCTCTGTTTTCAAGTCTAGAGCATTAACCTCGTGAGGTTTAGTGGAGTATAAGTGTGTGGGTCTAACTAATTGGTAAGAGACTGCACACCAAGCCTCTTGAACTGTTCCAAGTAGAAGCATACCTTTCATTTTTTCTTGGTAGATCCCATTCTGTTTACTTAGACAAAAGTGTAAAATACATTGATTCCAAAATTATCCACAAAATAGTATTTGCCAAAAGCGAGGCTAATTGTTTGTTTTTGCTGTCAGAAATGAATGTCTCATTATGCAAACTGAGATCTGGGAAGTTAAACCCGCCACCATGGATTGACAGACACATATTCTTGAGTGAAAAGTCAGACATGGAAGACACTCAAATGAGCATTCTAAATACACTGAACAGTTTTTCAGAGTATAGTGGTGCCTCTCTTGACGACGTTAATTTGTTCCAGCAAAATCGCTGTAGAGTGAAATCGTCATCAAGCGAAATTTTAAAAAACCATTGAAACACATTGAAAACCGTTCAGTGCATTCCAATGGGCGAGATACCTGCTCGTCCAGCGAAGATCCTCCATACGGCGGCCATTTTCTGGTGCCTGTAATGCGAGGAATCTGTCCCTAACACAGCGGTGATCCATTTTCTACAGCCAGTGGCCATTTTGAAACCTGACGATCAGCTGTTTGCTGATCTTCGTAAAGCGAAAAAGCAGTTCCCAAAGCAGGGAACCAATCAATGTTAAGCAAAATTCCCCCATCTAAACATCATTTTGCAATTGCAAAAGTGATCACAAAAACTTCAACGTTGAGTGGATTCGTCGTCAAGCAGGGTAATCGTCCAGTGGGGCACCACTGTACTTCTGAGGAAATACATAAAGGAATAGGAATATGATGGCTGGAATTGTACTGATGTTTGCATATGGTTTGCCTAACTTGCTGTAGTTAACTGACAAGGTGCTACTATGTTTCCCAGTCACACACCTGGTCATGTGTCTAACTGCACATCTGTGGCAGTTATGCAAACTTTACATGATCCTACTGGTAGGTTTCTAACCAATATCTATACCATAACATTCACCTTGATTGTAGCCATGGACTTTAGCCATGGCATATCTCTAAATTGAGGAATATTTCTGCAAACACAAGTTCAGCTTATACAGTTGAGACATACCCCTGGGGAGACATGCACCAAGATGCATAATAACTTATGGGCACCAACAAAACTGCCAGTTAGTAAGTAAACTGAATAATTGAGCAGAATCTTTAGGCATTATATCAGATTTGGATCAATGACTAGCATAATCAGAAAATGTCCTGCCAGTATGGCTTAATGTTGGAAATCTCAGTGTGGAAGTTTTTAGTTTTATTTATGAGTAAAAGCATCAGCAACATGGGAGACATGTTTATATTTGTCTTTTTTTTTTTTTAAGTAGAAAACTGAATTACTGCACTGTAACTAATGATGCACAATAGCTGAAGTCCTGGTGCTTAGTACATTGAGTTGTACTACAGTAGGCCCGTTGGGTTATTTAGTGGGGATTTGCTGAGTGAACTCCTCCATGGGTTGCTTTGATTCAAATGGGCCTGCTCTAGTTATGCTGATGTATATCACAACTAGAGTAGACCCATGCATTTGGTGGACCTACTCTACGGTGTCATACTAAACTAAGCAACAGGATTTGCTTATTTGAAGGTGTGTATTTCTTATTTCTAGCTTTTCCTCTTTATTTGACTTTTGTTTAATATACTAAGCAACAGGATTTGCTTATTTGAAGGAGTGTGTTATTTCTAGCTTTTCCTCTTTATTTGTCTTTTGTTTAATACAGCTGTCTAATTTATTTTGAAATAATAGTTTCAAAATAGGCAGAAATCCTAATACTTGACCAAAAAATGGCATCCTCCCTAATTAGGAGATGTTCTGATGGCCTTCTCCTTAACACAAATGTTTTCTTTTGCCCGCCTCCCACATCCTAGGCTTGAAGAGTTCCTGCTTGAGGACTCTCTTTTCCCTTTCATAAAGCAATCAAAAAAGCATGTGGAAAATTATTCTTGAATCACTTTATGGCCTTCCAGACATCGGATTGGAGCTCCATTATTTCCTGCTAGGATAGCCATTGTTTGAGAGATGATGGGGTTTGTAGCCCAGCTGTATTTGCAGAGACGTATGTTGCCCATCTCAGGTGCAGAGGGCAGCCCCAGGTTCAAATTCAATTTGAATGTTGAAATGTGTCTTTTGCTTAAAAAGCTATATTTGCTCAAGACTGCCAATACAACTTTGTTCTGGGTTAATGATAACCTTAATCCTCAAAGCAGTATTTTACATGTTAAGACACTGACTGGATTTGCCCTCATTTTGTGGATTTGTAAGTGTATTATTCTAGAAGGTGGGGGTAGGTGAGTTAAGGTGGCCCACACTGGATCGAAAGCTGTCCAAATGATTGGATGGTTCTGAATGGTCTTTTCTGTTGTAAAGTCTCAGTAGGGCAAGCTTAAACAGTGAAATGGAAACAGAATCATTGCTAGAGTGGGCTCAAGCTAGCTCACTTAATTGGTGTATTTCAGCTGCTCTCCATGCCTGACACTGCATCACTGGACTCCTACTTCTTAAATGCTGCTGTTGGGCAAAAGTCTCTGCCATCCTAGCCTAGATGAACTTCTTGTGTGTGCTCAAATTATACCTTCTTTTAATTCATAATACATCGGTCAAACAAGTTCCGAATAAAACAATTGAATTCTCTGTACAATTAAAAAGCCAGATGAAAATCAAGGCAGCTTCCCTTCTTTAAACAAATCACATTGAATACAGAATGTTCTTTTTCTAAAAACAAGGCATTCTCTTTGCTGCCAAAGCGCTACCAACTTGACTGTTCAAACAACATATGTGTGTCATTTATAGCATGTGAAAGTAGGTAGAATTTGGGCATAGTAGTTCTTTCTTGATTTGTCAATTCTTTTTCCTTTATTCCTGTCTGAATTGTTTTCCTTTTTGTAGGAAAGTGCTTCCTTGGCAGATAGATTGATACAGGTATAGTTCTTTAGTTTTTCACCCTAAAATGTTTCCCATTCTCCAAACAAACAAACAAACAAAAAACAGCTTCTGTTTTTTAATGCATGCTTAACTTACATGCATTTTCCAAATGCAAGTTGTCTACCTTAGTTAATTGAATGTCTGGTTTCTAGCAAATCGATGTTAGAATAATATTTAGATACACACCTGCACGTTACGTCTAATGGTATCTGTAATTTTTAGTAATTGTACTCTAATAATGGGCTCTAATTCTGTCATGGCACTAATTCAGTAGACCATTGCAAGCTCATAACTGGATATGCATGCCCAATGGAGTGATAAATGCATGAACATGAGCTCTGCTGAACACAAGTGCATAATTGACCTTGCCTAGGGATACTAAACATGTTAAATGTGATGCAGCATTACACTGCTTTTCTTCACTAAATTTATATGCTGGCTGTAACAGTTCTGTGATGATTTGCAAGACGTTAACCATATGGCAGAATAAATATGTAAAACTCTCGGTCTTCCCTGGATCCGTCCTCCAATTGATTTAAAAAGAAAATTATGTCCTAAGGGACAAGTGACAAGGGCCCAGGAGGCTGAGGAAAACTACCTCATAAAACGGGAGCTGGCCACTATCAAACAACAGAGTGATGAGACCGTTACTAAACTGGAGCAAGCTGAGAATACCATCAGGGAGCTCCAGCAGCAGCAACAAGGGGTAAGGCATCTGGCAGCACCTTAAATGTCTCATATTTTATCACTTACCTGTGGTTATTTCAGTCGGTCACCGCATGATCTATGGCCGTCTATTCTAAACATGTTGGCTTTTGTGTTTTTTTAAGATCAAACTTAATGAGCCTAATTCTTAGATAGGTCATTTGCATCCTCATGCTAATTGTCTTTATTCAAAAGCAAATCTTGTTGATTTCAAGTGTTAAGTTCAAGTAAATCTACTTAGGACCACATCTGAGTATATGTGTAAATAAATTTCCTGTGTAAATAAAGTACTCAGAATTCTCTCTCTCTCTCCCTCTTATACACACACACAAACAGAGAGAGAGAGAGAGAGCATGGGTGTTTGTTAGAAAATACATTATAAAATAAAGTACTCAGAATTCTCTCTCTCTCCCCCTCTTATACACACACACACAAACAGAGAGAGAGGAAGAGAGAGAGAGAGCATGGGCGTCTGTTAGAAAATACATTATGTTTAACAAATGACTTCGGATGAATTTGTGAGGGATTTCCTTTGTTGCACTTTCCCACATTCACAGTTCAGACTCTTTTATGTAGCTTGCAAAAGTTGGCCCTATTTCTGCAGATGCAATTAGTTCATTTTTGCTCCAGTAATTATTTGATAAGTTTCAACTTATGTTACATGGTAAAACTAGTTTATTTACTTGAGAAAACTGCATATATTTAATGAGTTGCGAAAATAGCTGTTTTTCTGAGTGAACAAATAATAATAATCAAATATGGCAGAAATATGAGCATTCTAGGCTTTGGAAACACATAAAAAGCTTTTTAATTCTTCTGAAATTAGACCAAACATGTTGGTATTTCATAATTGTATATATATTTTCTTTAGTTGTATTTCTTTTCTTGTCTAGGATAACTTTGTTAAAGCAGATAAAATGCTTACAAAGCCAGCATTGTAAACGACAAATAGCCAATTTCAGTTGATTATGAGATATAGCTATATTTCTTCAGTAATTTAGCCAAATCAATTTTGTCAGCTTGCAGTCCAGAAAGTTAGTCTTTTAAAATTATTCCCTATATCAAGAGCCTTGGTTTGTTTACCAAATCTGCTGCCTGCCACCATTAATAGTGCTCTCAAGTATGGCATGTAATAGGGTTGGAAGATTTAATGGCACAGTGACATTCTCTACCATTGTAGCCTGACAGTTCTTCTTTCAGTACTTTCAACATACACAGAACTCTCCAAAAAAAGTAATACAGGTAATACAGTACTTGCACCAGTCCTCAGACATAAGCAAGAAAACTTTATATGTGAAGAATAGAACGAGGCTCTGCCATATTTGTTTTAGGAAAACAATATGTGCATGTGGTTTGAAAAAGCAGATTGGGCAAAAGAATTTTGCAAATATCATTGGCATCAGTTTTCATGTGCATAAAATAACAATGAAAACTTACTAGATGTGTACTATTTTCCCCACATGCTCAAGCTTAGCTGGCACTCATATGTATCAGACAGCTTGTTACTTCTGTTGCCATATAGGCTGTGAAAAAAGAATACCTAGTACACTTCAGGGATAGGAAGTAGAGAGGGGCACGAACCTCAATTCGGAGGTTTGTGCCGGTTTGTACAGGTGGCACCACAGGTGCCTTAGTTCCCTTGCCTTAGTTCCCTTCCCCAGCCTCCACGGCCAATGACACACTCACCAGTCAGAGTGTGCTCCTCTCCTTCTCTTCAGCTGTTCAATCACTCCATGGCAGGAGCATGTTGCCTGTCCTGCCTCTTTGTCTGACTGGACAATCAGCTAAGGAGGCGGGGCAGGGAAGCCCATGCTCCTGCAGGAGACTGGTTGAACAGCTGAGAAGGAGGAGGAGCATGTGCTGGCTGGCAAGTGGGGCATCCAGACAGGGAAGTGGGGGAAAGGAACGTGCGCCATCTGTGGTGCCACATGTACAAATTGCCTCCAGACCAAGGTTCGTGCCCATCTCTAATAGGGCATAAGGAAGACAACACATCTAGAAGACAAACATACTTTTTCTCTGCCATAATTAATGTTGTTGACACTCCAGTCATACTACAGTAATTAAAGATGGGGGTATTCATTTTCACATACAAATACGAATATCCCCGCACAGGTGGAAGGAGGCGGGATGACAAACCTCTCTGCTAGGTCACAGAGTGGCTAATCCATTGAGGAGAACGAAGTGATAGGAAGGTTCACGGCGGCAGCGGCAAAATCATGAGTGGACATTATTTCCAACTGTATGAGGATATTTGTATACGAATACCCCCATCTCTAATACTAATAGGACAAGGGGTGTCAGTCACTACGGTGACACATGTAGGAGGAAGAATGTCCTCTGAAAGGGAATGGCTGCTATTTACTGTAAATATGGCAGTTGCATGAACGCAATAGTACTTTTATACAGAGAGAGAGAGAGAACTGTATTTTGGATTCTTAAGTTCTAGTAATAGAGTTTACTTTATCCACTGTAAGAGCTTTTGAGCAATCTTAGCACGGATTCACTGAGAATCTCCCCAGTGCTGTTTAACATCTATATGAGGCAGCTGGGCCAGGTCATCAGGGGGTGTGGAGTGGCGTACCATCAATATGCTGATTACGCGCAGCTCTACATTTCCTTTTTTCCAACTACAGTGGATCCCTCCTGGGGTCTGTACTGCAATGGATGCAGGAGAATGGGCTGAGGCTGAACCCGGACAAGACGGAGATCCTGAGGGTGGGGGGACCTACTATCAACGGTTTGGGAAACTCCCTTTCTTTTTGGGGGGTGACTCTCACTGCGAAGAGTGAGGTTCGCAGCTTGGGGATTCATCTGGACCAGGCACTTACCATGGAATCCCAGGTGGTGTCCATGGTCTGATTCGCCTATTTCCATCTGTAGCGGATTGCCCAGCTGCGTCCCTATCTAGATGGGGGTCGCTCACCACTGTGGTCCATGGGCTTGTAATCTCAAGGTTAGATCACTGTAATGCTCTCTACGTGGGGCTACCTTTGAGATCAATGTGGACACTCCAAATGGTGCAGAATGCGGCGGCCAGACTTATTAGTTGGGGTGAGGAAACATCATCGTATCTCCCTCATTCTGGCCGCCTTACATTGGCTGCCCGTTTGGTTCCGCGTTGATTTCAGATGCTTACGTATAAAGCCCTAAATGGTTTAGGGCCTCGATACCTGGCGGAACACCTCCTCCCACCCAAATCTACTCGTATCACTCGGTCTAGCCAGGAAGTGAGGCTGAGGAGCCTAACGCCGAGGAAGGCCCGGAAGGAAAAAAAAAGAAACCGGGCCTTCTCTGCAGTGGCTCCTCAGCTTTGGAATGACCTCCCTTCTGAGATCCATATGGCCCCTTCACTGGGCATTTTCAAATGCCAACTGAAAACCTGGCTATTCAGGCAATCCTTCCCTCCAGCCCCCTCTTGATTTGTTTTGCTCTCTCACCTTGAGTCTTTGTCTATTGATATATTATTTGTACCATACAGTGGTGCCTCGCTTAACGAGCGCACTGTTTAATGACGAATCGGCATAGCGATGCGTTTTTTGCAATCGCAAAAGCGACCGCATAACAATGTTTTCAAGGGGTAAACATCGCTTTGCGATGATCGGTAAGCGTTTCGCTTACAGATTATCGCATAACGATATTTTTAAAACAGCTGATCGGCAGTTCCAAAATGGCCGCCGGAAAAAATGGCCGCCCGCAGCATTTTCGCGCCCTTTCTTCGCTTACTGGGCAGCGAAAACGGTGGCCGGATGGAGGATTTCCGCATAACGGTGAGTTTTTCCCCCATAGGACTGCATTAAACGTGTTTTAATGCGTTCCTATGGGGTTTTCCCCCCACATAGCGACGAATCCAGATAGCGACGATTTTTTCGGCATGGATTATTGTCACTATGCAGGGCACCACTGTATTTGAAATGGTTTATTTTATATGCTGTTATCCACCCAGAGTAGTCGGTTGACTAAATGGGCGGGGTACAAATTCAATAAATAAATAAATAAATAAAATCTGCATTTTTTAAACAATGCCCTTGAGGAAGAATTGCAAGGTTTTAAGGCATCAGTGAGTCATTTTAGCTTGTTACGTATCAGTTCTGTTTTTAAAATAAAATTAAAAGCAGTAGCTGTTAATTTTCATAATAATAATAATAGTAATAGTAATAATAGTAATAGTAATAGTAATAGTAATAGTAATAAATGTTTTATTACGGTCTCAACCATCAAAAGTAAAAAATTTCAAATTTTCAAAAAAATCGATTTGTCTAGTTGTTTCAAACTCTGAGAGACCCTATCATTAACAATCTTAAAACATTAACATCATTTTAAAATGTGTAAACCATCTCTGTTTTATGCAGATTTGTTTAATTGTTAAGATACTGATAATGAGTACAGAGGCTGCAGCATGTGAGTGTGCTGTTCTCCATGTCCTTAAGCGCAAAGGTCTTCCAGCAATTCCTCCTGTCTCCTCCCACCCCTAAAAAGCCCTGGTATTTGATGCTGCTAGTGGAAATCACATGGGTTAGGGCAGAGCCAGAGGTCAGGAGTTTGATTCCCCCCCTGTGCCGCCCATGGGAAGATCCAGCCTGTGTACCCTTGGGCAAGCTGCATAGTCCCAGGGCCTCCCCAGAACTAAAGAATGGGAAACCACTTCTGATTACTCCTGTCTAGAAGAGCCTGAAAACGGTTGCTGCAAATTGGACTTGACTTGAGGGTACACACTTATTACTGTTCAGGGCTAGTTAATCTTTGTGTAACGTTAACTCCCTTATATATTTTGCGATAAAGGAATGTTGTGGCAATTGATGGAAGATACTGGAGCTAATATTCAAAGAAGTATCTAATTCTGTGATGAAACTCCAGTTTAATGTAATGAGAGATCATGGGAGGAGCCTGATCTGTATGTTCAGCAATGTAGAGTACAAACATAGGCAAGTTGTCAGGATGTGCATTGATCAACCTAAGGTCAGATGTTTTGCAGGGCCAGAGAATGCTTACTGTCATATTGGAAATGTAGGGCACCACCTAGTGGAACTACTTGCCAATGCACAACCTTAAATTTTGTTATCACTTGGGCAGCATTCCTTAGCACTTTGGTCTGTGCCCAGTTGCATTATGACTTACAGGTGAACATGTTTAAGATCATGCTGTGCAACTAATAATTTAGCAGTGACACAAAACCCCAAAAGTTTCCTCTGGTTTGAGCCTTATTCTTATAAAAAGAAGTTAATGTCAGTATACTTGTTTCTTTGGGAAAACCTTATTCTTGCTTTGTCTTTACTCACTTGCTCATCTCCTGAAGGATTGACTCTTTGTGACTTCATTTGTTTTTCCTATCTATAGCGCTGTAGTTGTGTATACTGTAAGGACCACAGGAAAAAGTATCCAAAGAAAAGTGATACCCAGCTATCTTTTTCTTGCCAGTTTTGTTACATTTGTAGTACTTCCACTAATGATCTTCTACTTCTGGTCTGAAACAGAAAAGGTGTCTGCTTTATTGTTATTTATAAATTTAGTTGATATGTGTGTATAGAAGAATGCAAACCTATCTTTCATAATGGCATTGAATATACATTATGTGATGAAATGTGGAATTAGAGTACATTTCTAGAGATGGAAAAATTCACATCTCAATGAAAGTGCCTGATTTGTAGTGGGACGAAATGAAAAGGAGCAACTGATTTGTATGGCTCCAGTTTTTTGAGGCTGCTAAGTAGAGGCAGGCAGAGAGGAATTCCGGAAGGCTGTTGGAGACTTCGATGGTTATTAAATCTAACCCATGAGCTTTGTCCTTTGCTTTAATGCCACATGCCTTGAAAGAGTTTTTGATTGCTTGGTTATGATGGAGGATCTGTAGATTAGCTGAAAACATTCAGCTGTGTGCTGTAAATCAAACTGGGTAGCCTTGGACAAGTCCTTGTTTCTTAAGGTGATTGTGAGGGATAAAAGTCTTTAAAAACAGTTTGGGTTGAGATGATATAATGCATGGTAAGAAAGCAGAGATTAGCAAGTATTTGATGGACATGCTGAGTATGATGAGAAGTGGAGGACAGATACGACAGGGAGCAACAACAAGCTATATATAGCCTCCAGTATTTTTAAATCAGTTGTTACTTCTACATATTCAGATTTCTTAACCATGGTGATTAGAATTGTTTTTCTTAAAGTGAAACCTGATATTCCGAAGAATTTGAGTTTCGGAACTCTTCCCCCTTTTTTACTTCTAATTTACACAGTTTTAGCCGTAGACTTGTTCTTGATAGCCAGCAATCTGGATTTAGACTACCTGAATTGTTTATACAGTACTTGTAATTAGATTGGGATTTTAGTTCTGTGGAAGTCCCGGATGAATGTATTGAGATGCTGCCTGCAACCTGAAAGGGGCAAGGTAGTGATTTTTCACTGAACTAAAATTACATTCAATCTTCATATATTATAGACACTTAACAAGCCATGTTATTGAAAAGTTTTTAGGGACACTTTTTAAGTGGTGCCCTGTTGCTTAAAGCACAGCAGTATTAAAAATACAACTGATGGTTATGTCATAAAAGAGTGCCATATAAATACTAATCTTTTGAAATTTGCATATAGATGAAATACTCCTATAAATTATCTATAAATTAAATACTCCTATCTTCTATAAATTAAAAAAATTGTAGTTTTTCATTTACTTTAAAGGAGTTATTCAAGAGTTCTTTTACTTGTCTTCTACATCTCAGCAGCCTTGAAAGAAGCCGCAGGGCAATATTATTAGTCATTTACTAGTTATTTTGGGCCTCTTGAGCTTTACTTGGTCTAGGTTTACCTTAAAAGAAGAAAGAAATGACTTTTAGGGTTCCCCCCCCAAGGCTATTAGGACCAAACCCTACCCCTCAATGGACATTGGTACCATATGTTACTGATGTGCTTCTCTCAGTGGCTTCTGGGAGCACAGGTTTTAAAACCATGGCTGGCTGACGTGCAGAGAGGGAATGGACTGCACCAAATGGGAGAGCATAGCTCATTTTATCTCCTCCCATTTTAAGAGGAGGGGAGAAAAGTTACCTCCAAGTGTTATAATGGGCTCGTGGCTGCTCCCATACTATAAAATGATGAGTGTATGGAGAAATGACTGGCATGTTTAGAAATATTGGTGTCAGTGCACAAATATAGGGGAGAGTGAAACCATGTCAAAGGAACTCTGGGGGCATTTGAGGTCTCAGATATATTTTACAGCTTCTCTTCTGTTTGTACAGCTTTATTTGATAACAGCTGTAAAACCATGTACAGGGAAAGTCTTCTTAGAAAGGAACATTGGGTCTCACTAGCTATTGCAAAGGACACAGCATTGCTGCTACCAATTCCAGTCATCTCTCAAGTCCTCCTGCTGGCATGCATGCCGTTAAACAAATACAGATCAGAATCCCACATTTCAATGTTCCACAGACCTTATTCTGGTTCATTTGCTGGCACTTACTGAGGATGGTCCTGAATGCAGTGGTATTACTGAGGAAGGGCAAAAGCAAGGTGCTGATTGGTGACCACCACACCATCCCTGTAACCTCAAGCGAGGCCCTGGATGACAAATGGCCGTGGAGCCAAAAAAGCTCTCTCCTTGTTGGTTGTGCTCCTTTGCCATAGGTGGTGTTCCAGTGTTTTGCTAGCATGGGAGGAATAACTGTGCCAAATAAAGATGACCTGGGAGTACCAGATCATTACTCACCGCAGTAGACTGGCTGACTCAGATGATCTGCAGTTGGAAAAATACAATGACTTAACGGCTAGCTGGAGAAGTAAAAATATTTAAGTCTTAAAATACTTCTATTGCATCTTAAGCTGTAGTGGCGCCACTAAATGCTGAATGTTCTGACTAACAGAGGAACTTGGGAAAGCTGGAGGTGTGCTACAACTTTAAAAACCACCCAGTGAGCAACTTAAACCTCAGGCTTTAGGGGAATTGTAAAAAATCACTGCTGATTAGAACTGAAGACATTCAATGCAAGTTAATATCTCTGAGTGAGAATAACTCATGTCTTTGCTAATAGTCATGTTCTAAGTGTATCTTAAGGAAAGCCTGCACTGTCCCATCAGCACTCCTGTTTTGTAATTTTGTTGGTAGCTCTGCTTTATCAGTACATAGGACAGGGTGTATACATTTACATTCATTGTTTTCTCAGATGTATTACTAATGTTGGACTTTATCATTCTGTATGTAGCATAAGTGCAGTTCCAGATATAGTGAAGATTTCGTCTTACAGTTGGAAAAAGAGTTGGTCCAAGCAAGACTAAGTGAAGCAGAATCTCATTGTGCCTTGAAAGAGATGCAAGATAAAGTTCTTGAGATGGAAAAGGCAAGTCAAATCAGAATATTTTTTAGAATGAGTTTTGTAGTTCTTTTGAACTTAGCTTGATGTTCCATGAAGCTTATAGCTGAAGGCTGCTGGTGATTTATGCATGCATATGTTAAATCTTGTTAGACACAGTGGCAAATTGCTGCTAATGAAGTGCAGGTTGCACTCCTGATTTCATGCCTGTTGTATGACCAGGCACTCAACAAGAAATGCAGCCAGCGCTTTTTTCACTAACATCAGTTTGCTACCACAATTTACACAAGTTTACTTATGCTCATAAGTATAAGCACAACACTTGTTAGGTCACTAATAGAATTGTGGCTAAAATATAACATTAAATATGGACCAATTTTGGTCCAACCTTCTGATCAAAGGAGGTTCCTGCAATGATTATACATATATGCCTGATCCGCTTGGACCCAATGCATTTGAAGGACTGCATTCATCTATGCAATTTTGTCTGCCCACCCCATTCAATATTAGAGGCTTTGCTGTGCATATTTCGCCTTTCACAAACACATTTAGTTGTCCACGAGATGGAGCTTTTTCTATTGCAGAACCTAAATTGTGGGAATTCTTCTCTAGATTTACTGAATTGACCCCCACTTTTTAAAGCTTTGGGCTGTTGAGATCAATTTTATTTAACCAGGTTGTTAGTGTGGGCTAAGGTTCTGTGTCCCTGTTTTTATATCAAATCATTTTCCTTATTATTAATGTGTACTTTATGTTCTATTATAGTAACAGAAACGGTGTGTTTTAACTTGGAACTGTTTTGCTTAAATGTTTGTTATGGTATGTTTTGTAAATTGCTTTGAGTTTATTTTATTAAGGAAAGCAGGTGCAAATGTTTTTAATGAAATATGGGGCTCATTGGTTAAGAGGTATAAATAAAGTCTGCTTGATTGTTTAAAGTCACCTGCAGTAGCATCCAAAATCATTTTCACATTTTTATTCTCATGGAATTATAATACTATTTAAAAGCTCTTGTATTGCTGGATTTTTTTTAGATCTTTAAAGCACATGTTACCATGCACTATGTTTTTAATCAAGTGCACATGGTCACATTCAGAAATGTACAAGAGCTATATATAAGTTATTAGTTCTTGATTTCATTTCAGTTCTTTTGTGTATTCTCCAGTCCTATTTATGTGTACATACCAGTTTCTTAAGACCTTATTTTCTTTCAGAGAAATAGCTCTTTGCCTGATGAGAATAATATTGCTAGGCTTCAAGAAGAATTGATTGCAGTGAAACTAAGAGAAGCTGAAGCATTGATGGGTCTAAAGGAACTTAGGCAGCAAGTTAAAGATTTAGAGGAACACTGGCAGGTAAGTCTATATGCTCAGATTCACAAATTACAAAAAGTCTTCAGCTGTCTCACAGTGATAATTAGCATTTATTGTAAAATGGCTTATCTGTCAATATTGCAATAATTACATGGCTTATCCGTCAGTATTGCTTTATTAAATTAAACATTGTATTCTGAAGTTTGAAAATACAATGTGAGTATTGATGTTCCTGCTACCAAACATGGGCTTTGTGTCTTTAAAGAGGACATGCATGGTTGAAAAATCCCTACTTTAATTCCTGAGTTCTTTATGGTAGAGATTGTTGCATTTGCTTTTATTTACTTCGTATGAAATCGAATGAATCCTTTTGCATGCTTAATCCTAGCTGAAGAATGTTTTGATTTTCAAGACCGGGCTTGTGTTAAAACATAGCAATGTTTTTTAGCGCCATCTAGTTCGTACTAGTGGAAGATGGAAAGACCCACCTAAAAAGAACACTGTAAATGAACTGCAGGATGAACTAATGACAGTCAGACTTCGGGAAGCGGAAACCCAAGCAGAGCTGAAGGAGGTTAAACAAAGGATGATGGAACTGGAGACACAGGTAAGACTGTTACAGAACTAATGGACTTGAAATATCAGGTATTGCATTGAAAGAGTTCCTTGGAGACAGAAAGATTTGAGATTACTGATCAAGTTGGTAGCATGTTTAGATTTCAAAGCACCAATCATTTCTGAAGCTGTTGGGATGATCTTGGGCCTGCCCTGGCTAATTCCTGAAGTGATAGGTGAAAATGGGCTAAGCCCCTTGTGAGTTTCCCTTATGGTATTTCAAGGAAGCAGAGGAAGGTAATGTGGTAACTTGGCTGGTGTATGTATTTTTAAAAGTTTGACTGATTGAGAAGGAGCTCAAATCCAGCTTCTCTGACAGAAGGTACATATTGCCAGTGTAACTGTTACATGGCAAAAAATGTTAGTTCATTTAGACCACTTATGGCCATCCTTTCATAGGCAAAGCTCAAAATATCTAACAACTTTGTTCATACAATAGCAAAATTTCTAAAAGTGATGAATACAGAAAAATTAAAACATAGATGTTAAAACGTTAAGAAATCTTCCAACAAGAAAAACAGTTGATTCAGTGCGGCATATGGGGGAAGGGGGCGTTGTCAGTCAGTGCACGAATTGAAAAAAGCTTTCTATGGCTTTAACCAAGCTGTGTACTGTATATTGTAAATAGACCGTAGCAAAAAGAAGTGACTTTCCCTAATCCTTTCAGTCAGCAGGGGGTGTAGTTGTACTGTATGATCTCTTTATGTTGGATATGCATCACAAGTGACATGTGGCTTTTTCTGGTATGTAGTCACTTAATACTGAGTACGTATAGCTTTCTTTATAAGTGTGGCGGTTTGGGCCATGACTCTCAGAACGTCCCAGCCATTATGGCCAGACCTCTAGTTTCTCTCTGTTGATATAAGCAGGACCTTCAAGCAGACACAAAATGCTGACAAAAAGTTCACAGGAAGTTTTCTAAATGGGCTTAACCTTTCATTTTGCCTACTTCATCTTTTATACTTCATCAGAAACATACAGGAGATTTTGGACTGTCCTCCAAGTTTGCATTAAAAACGTGCAGTTGAATGACTTGAGATAATTAACTTGTGTTTGCATTCCGAGCACTGCTGCCATTTTATCAGTCAGGATCATTAGAGTGCTTGCAGGCAATGAGATTTATGCCATCGTGCTAGCTACTTTGGCATTGCTGAAGATTTTGCACTGCACATATTAAGACTTGGAGGGAATGCCAGTATAGAAAGCAGTCTTGTATTAAATTTCTTCTGTGAGAAACAGAATGTTGGATTGTGTAATTCTGAAGTGCTTGAATGTGATTGGCATTTGCAACTGTCATACTAGAGACTTATGTATGTATTGGGCAAAGATACATAATCATTTTTTAGGGATTTATGAACTGGTAGGTTGCTGGGCAGGTTTAACTACTCAGTTTTGGTTGCAGTTCTTATAAGTGCTATTTATACACCCATAGTGACTACTACTACAGTCAACCCTCGACTTACGAACTTAATCCCTTCTGGAAGGACATACGTACATCGAAAAGTTCGTAAGTCAAAGTACCATTTCCCATTGAAATGCATGGAAATGGAATTAATCCATTCCAGCATTTCAAAAAAATACCAAAATAAAAATAAAAAGAGCAAGTCCCACGCTGGGACTGCAAAAAACACGCGCACACACAAAAACCACAGAAACATAACCTCCCCAGTACAAAACCACCCTCCAAAACCTACACAGAAAAGTTTTTTTAAAAGGACTTACTAGTCCGAAGCCTCCTGGCGCTCCGCTGCCTCCGCCGCGGCCAGGGGAGAGTGGCCAAGTGCCCGGCCAGCTCTAGCCTCCTGGCGCTAAGTGAGCGCTGCCTCCAATCGTGGCAGTGGGGGACACCAGGGAGGTCTCCGATGGCGGCAAGGAAGCTCCCAGGGCTTCTCCGCTGCCATCAGAGACCTCCTGGGGGTCCCTGCCACAGTGATCGGCGGCTTTGGAGC